TGCAGGTTAGCTATGTTTTCAATGAAGAGTAGTAAGCTATGTTCCTCCTTTTCCCCTTACCATCCAGATACTAAACCTTAACTCTGACTGAAGAGATTTTCAGTGAGATCACGTTGACTGGCATTTCTACATCCATTACAGTTTTCATCCTTGCACACTTTTCAAATACTAATCACATTAGTTGCTTTGCAACATCTTTTGACAAGAGTATTGGTTCTGCAATACACAGATATGCAAGTATGAGGGAGGGGAAAAAAAAGAAAGAAGTTTTATTCAGAGTTTTATAAGTAAGTTTTATAAATAATAGCAGTAGATTTATAAATAGCATTTTTATAAGAGAAAAAAAGCAATAGCAAGTAATAAATTCACCTGTTTTACAGCATGCCTACAAGCACTATAGACTAATACCTCACTGTATTAAGCCCCATAACTGTCAACTGCCTACTAGCAAGCAATACTTCCCAATAGCCTTGCTGGGACAAGTAGTAGTAATGATCTCTCAGACATTTCCCCTGTTACTTTGAGCAATTATACCTTTCCCCTCTCTCTGCAAGTAGACCAATTTTCATCCTCCTTTCTCCACTTCTCCAAGTGTTAAATGCGCATGGCTTGCATATCCATAACACCTGAAAGTCTTTTAGCCAGCTCCTGCCAAGCAGAGAGCACACTTGTACAAAATAATAAAAATGGATTCTAAGTGATTAGAGGTAGGACAAAGAGAACAGATACTCACATAAATGAAGGAACATAAGGAAGCAACAAGACAAAGATGTAATGGTTCATTTACTAAACACACTAGACTGGGTTAATGCCCAAACCCTTTCAGATGCCAGTCCAGCCCCAGAGTGGGTTGCAACTGCCCTCTCCATCACCTATGCGTCCTGGCAATGAAGGACTGGGATAAACTCTTCATGTAATGCCAGGATGGAGACTTCTCCAGGCACAGGAATTCCTGAGACATTGCTGTTTCCTACAAGCATATAGGACTGTAGTATTACTGCTGGCTTCTTCCTATCAATTAACTACAATTCTTCCTCTGTTGCCACAGCCTACATTAGCTGTCAACTCCATCATGACAGCAAGTAAACTGCAGTGTCTCTGCATTCGCTCTGGGAAATGCATTACCATGCATTACCCAACAAGGCCAAATAAAGCATGAGAGCTTGCTCAACTCCTGATCTCCAGAAATACCCAAAGTTCCATGAAATCCTTGATATAGACAATCCATCAGATGTCATGCACTGCCTCCTGCTTTCAGGATTTGCACCCATGTATTTGCTAGTAGAATTCTTCAGTTGGTCCTATATCGTTCTTTATAATCCCAGTATTTATTGGGGTGGAAA